CAGGGAGCATTTGCAGCCGACAACAAAAGCAACATTTTTGGTAGAAACACAAAAAACATATATGCAATAACATTGGATTTTGCTAAATTGTCTGTAAGAAACAACAAAACCGAAAAAAAAAGTTTTGGAACTTTTTTAGAAGAAGAAGAAAGAGATCTGATGGGTGTTGTTACTATTCTTCCTGAGTCGAAGCAAACTGTTACAGGGAAAAGAACATATCGTCCAAGTTCCAGCATCAGACACACTCCTCAATGGTACGACAGTTTACGCATATGGGTCCTCAAAAGATCACAGCTTTCACCAACTTTCTCCACAAAAATTTTCCAATTTTACAGAACTTCCCTCCTCTCTGTTTTTTGTTTCTTCTTCTTGCTGGTTACTCAGTAAGCTATGTGTGTGTGTTTCCAGGCCGGTCTCTGACGTTACGAGTGACTTAACCATCGAAGTCGGCTCTGCAAGTTTTTCTCTTCACAAGGTAACGAAATTCATAACTAATCTTGGGGTAAATTCGAATAACAGAGCACTCATTGTCTCTGTTTTTTGCAGTTTCCTCTGGTTTCTCGGAGTGGAAGAATCCGGAAACTTCTTCTCGAATCAAAAGACACAAAGAACGCTTATCACCTCAACTTACCCTCCGTTCCCGGCGGCTCAGAAGCGTTCGAGCTCGCTGCAAAGTTCTGTTACGGCGTCAACGTCCAATTCACCTCATCTAACATCGCTGCGTTGAGATGCGTTGCTCATTACCTGGAGATGACTGAAGAACTGTCGGAGAAGAATCTCGAGGCGAGAACAGAGTCTTACCTTAAAGAAACGATTCTCAATGACATTTCGAACTCAATCACTGTGCTTCACTCCACCGAGAGGCTATTACCTGTAGCTGAAGAGATTAGCCTCGTCGCGAGGCTCGTAAACGCAATCGCTGTAAACGCTTGCAAAGAGCAGCTAGCGTCTGGTCTGCTCAAGCTTGATCAGAATTTCAGATGCGTCGGGAGGTTGACGGAGACGGAGACGGAGAAACCCTCTGAGTGGTGGGGAAGGTCTCTACCGATCCTCAAGCTCGATTTCTTCCACAGAGTTCTCTCCGCCATGAAATCTAAAGGTCTGAATCAGGAGATTATCAGTGAGATACTTATGAGCTATGCTCGGAAGTCACTTCAGATCATCAGAGAACCGAATCTCCTCAAAGGAAATGGGATTTTGGATTCCGATCTGCACAAGAAACAGAGGATCGTCCTTGAAGCGATCATCGGTCTCCTTCCCACTCAAGCGAACAAAAGCTCGATTCCGATCTCGTTCCTGTCTAGTTTGTTGAAGACAGCTATAGGATCTGGAACCTCTGTCTCTTGTAGATCGGATCTTGAGAGACGGATCAGCCACCAGCTGGACCAAGCCATCCTCGAAGATATTCTTATTCCGGCGAACATCGGCGCGATGTACGATACCGACTCGGTGCAGAGAATCTTCTCCATGTTCTTGAATCTTGACGACTGTGAGTACAGA